ATATCCCAAAAGGCAGTTTAAGGTAGCAAAATTTTGGTCCCCTTTACTTAGAAACCAAGTCGCTCATTGCCACTGGGGTCTCACTTATTCTAGTCTCTCTCAGTAGGCAGAGCTAGGAAATATATGTATTTATACTAACCCACACATATAACCACATCTATATCTATCTAATAAAAAACATGAATTGATACTGTTACTCCTGATTACAGTCCAGCGCTATAAGGTTCATTTTAGCTCTTTCCTCATTTGTAACTTCTTTCTCCTACAGTGATTAATCCACTCTCCTTGTCCACAGTTTGTTGACTTACATGTTCAGTCCTAGTATATCTATAAAGTAATGTCAGAATTGCTAACCTATCTCCCTGTGGGAAACACATGTACTACATAGATTATAGTATTTGTGTTATTTTGTCTTTGACATTATAGGGTCGTTAAAATACAGTTTTTCAAGGTTACTCAGGTTAGTTATTTTTTTATTCTCTCCACTCCTATCAGTGTGGTTATATTATTCATCTGAATGCAGCCAAGTTCACTGATTGTTTATGTCCCACCTTGGGTTCCCCCACATCCTCATTGGGTTTTTTAAAAATATTTTTTCTTTATTGATTTTAGAAAGACAGGAAGGGACTGGGAGTGAGAGATAGAAACATTGATGAGAGAGAACATCAACTTGGCTGCCTCCTGCACGCCCCCCACTGGGGATGTGGCCCACACCCTGGGCATGTGCCCTGACCAGGAATCGAACTGGCGACCTCTTGGTGCATGGGTCAACGCTCAGCCAGTGAGCCACACCGGCCAGGCTCCTCATTGGTTTTAATTACTGTTTATATTTGGGAATGTGAAGGGTATGCGGAGCATTGCTATAGTTCTAAGAGCCAGACTCAAGGAAGTGCCCTGCCCTCCTCATTCCTACAGCCAGTTCCCATTCTGTTCTCTTGTTACCCCTTTCAGACCCACCCTCTGTAGACAACCAGTCTCTGCAGTTTCTGATTTATCCTTCTCATTGGTAATCTTTTAAAAGCTCTCAAGGGCTGAGAACCCTGCTCTGTCCTTCGCATTCACTGGTCTCAGCGTCTCCTACAAACTGCCCACTCACACCGAGCACCTTTGCACCTGCTGTTCCTCAGACTCCCCCACCTTCTGGCCTCCGAACCCATCTCAGCCCAGGCTTCCCCAGGCTTCTGCCCGTGGGCCCTGCACTCGTTCTGAGGTAGGAATTAAGTCATCTCCCAGGGTCTAGTCCCCACCACTACGGAGAAAGGAGGGGCTCAGACAGGCTTATTCAGGGAGCTGCTCCCTGGACATCCAGCTTCAACACCACTAGCCACTTGCTTCAGCACGTCCAGCCAGCAGCTGCTGAGCCGCGCTAACTCTACCTACACATCCCCCTTTCTTCCTGGGTGGCCAGCACTGCATTATTGTGAGCTCTCTTGCTTAGGGCTTGTCACGTTGACTTTGAACCTGTTGTCATATCAGTGCATGCATCTGTAGCCATCTCAGTTTCCCCACCTATAAACTAGAACCAATTTCTTTTAATTTCTCTCCCTGCTTTCCAAGGGCCATCTTAGGGCTGCGACCGCTGGGAATGATTGTGCAGGTACTGGGGATCTAGTGCCACCTGGTGGATATCACAAAAGAGGCCTCTTCTGCCAAAGAAGTCAAAACCTCGGATTCCCATCATGAAGCAAAGCAACTTCCAAATATGAATGGTCATCTGTACTTTCTTCCCTTTTCCAGACCACTATTAGGTGGAAAAAGGAAAGAATCTCCTTGACCAGGTCATTGACCACATGAAGCTATCTGGGAGATCAATTGGCCAGGTTCCACGGAGATCACGGATGTAATCAAGGGCTGGCCCAGTGAACGGGGAGCTCAGGATTAAACAGCTGTCTCTGAACACCTGCCAACTCTCCCTCTCCCTTTTGCATTACTCAAATTATCACATCATTCTCTCTCTAAAGCCCAAAATATATAAAACCAAAGAACCTCAGGATAATTCACTACAACTGCTTTGTTTTGTAAGTAATTACAATTGCTTCATTTCAGTGTGTGAAGTATTTTCTCAATGATCCTCACAATGTTCTGAGACACAGAGTAGCTATTATTATGATGATTTACATATGGGGAAACTGAGGCCAAGAGAGGTTCATGGATTTTCCCAATGAACAAAAGGGCCTGCTTTTGGTAGAACCCAGGCTTCCTGATTCCTAATCTACTCTTTCTCTACCACATGAAAATATTAGAGATTTACATTTCTTCACATTTTATTTAAACTTTCACATTTTGGGTCTCTAAGAATAAAGATATTACATAATGATATTTATATTTTACTTAATTATCTGTTCTTTAAAATAGGTCATGTAGAAAAAATGCAAATGTCCCCGCTCTAAAAGCAATTGGTTTGGATTTAAAGGCATCAGGTGGTAAGTTTGTCCCCAAGGGCCGTGGCCGCATCGTGCTTGTTTCTACACCCCCGGCACACGGCGAGATGTTTGGCACAACGTAGGCTCTCAGTAAATATGTGTTGAATTGAAGAATGTGAAAGAAATATGGAAACTATGTGTTTACTATCTGTTCACCTTTCCATGGACATAGAGTATATTTGCTCTAGGAAAAATAGGAATTAAACCCAACAGATGAATTAGAATCCAGAACATCAGAGATGAAATGACACAAAAGTCATCTAATCCTGTCCTGGTAATAGTCTCCACAAATTTAGCAAGTTCATGCAGTTTCCTTGCCTTTTTATAAATAGGGAGAAATAACAACGACTTCATGGTATTGTTATGTGGCTAAATGAGATGTTACTGGCAGCACAGTGCATACTAAATATATTAGCTATTATTAGGATCTTAATATTTATTTGTTGAGGGAATAAAGCTGAGTTCTTACCCATCACCTCCTCTTCCTCAATTACCCTCCCACCCTCCACCATCCATCTCCCATTCTTCAAAAGATAAGTTGAGATCTGGGCCTGAAAGCAAACTTTCCAGTGGTGAGGGGGATGAAACTGCACTTAAGAACACTAAGGCTCTCTCTCCCAGTAGGGTTGGAGAGTAAATGTTTAAAGGATGGGGAAGGTGAGGTGTGAGCCTTTCAGAAGGCAGAGGAACGGGCTGGTTGGCTCGATGCTCTCTCATGCCCTTCCAAAGATGCAAAGGAGTCCGTCCCAGGTCTCTTTGTCCAGACCTCCCAGCCTTCGCCTACTGTCAGACCACAGGCCATTTACCCTTCTCTCACTAGATAGCGTCTCAGAGCGAGGTTTCATTTTATGAATGCAAGGAGACCGCCCTGGCCGGTTTGGCTCAGCGGTTAGAGCGTTGGCCTGCGGTCTGGAGAGACCCGGGTTCGGTTCCCGCTAAGGGCACGTACTTTGGTTGCAGTTTGTCCCCGGCCCTGGTCGGTCGTGTGGGTGGCAGCCACTCGATGTGTCCCTTTCACGTCGATGTTTCTCTCTCTCTCTCTCTCCCTCCCACTCTATCTGTACAAAAATTGCAAAAATGTCCTCGGGTGAGGATAAAACAAAAAAAATGAATGCAAGGAGACCTACCTCTCCTAGAGGACACCTCGCAGAAGGCCTCCTCATCAAGGGGCAGCCACTCTGAGGTGGAGAGCCCATGGCACCCCTCCCCTCCTCTGCACAGTGAGTCCAATCAGAGCAAGCAAGCACTTTACCCAAAGGCTGTTGACCAACAGGCAAACCAGGAACAATGGGCAGAGGCATTAAAAACTAGGCTGATCCCGCCCTGGCCGGTTTGACTCAGCGGTTGGAGCGTCAGCCTGTGTTCCAGAGAGACCCGGGTTCGGTTCCCGCTAAGGGCGCGTACCTTGGTTGCAGTTTGTCCCAGGCCCTAGTTGGTCGTGTGGGTGGCAACCACTCAATGTGTCCCTTTCACATCGATGTTTCTCTCTCTCTCTCTCTCTTCCTCTCCCTCTCTCCCACTCTATCTGAACAAAAAATGAAAAAATGTCCTTGGGTGAGAATGAAAAAAAAAAGAAAAAGGAAAAAAAAAAGGCTGATCCCTTTTCTCGGGAATCTGGACCGGAGAGTAGAAAGATACTTAGCAAGCTGGCAATAGGAACAGAGCTAGAAGCAGAGCTGGACAGGTATGAATACAAAAGTTGGGCGAGGCACCATAACAGACCCTGAGCAACTGAAGTTAGGGGGCAGTGGGTTTATAGCATTTGGAAAACACAGGAAATAAAGCAGATGTACCAAGAGACAACAAAAGGCAGGTCAAGATGGAGTCCAAGCATCCCTATCCCCAAGCATCCCCATTCCCAGCCTAACCAACACCCCTCTTTTTCTGGAAGAAGCTTAAGGGAGTCTGTGTTCCTTATCACTAAAGAGCCTAATCAGATCACAGAACTATGCAAAGCCATGGACAGGGGTCTGGTGACACATTCTCCAACAGTGGTATCTTCAAACAAATGTTTTGTTTCAGATGCTTTGTTTGCAGGAAGTTTGTTAAAGCCATTGTGAAAAGATTTTAGAAGAAACAATGAAAAAAAAAAAAAAGACCTTGAGATGTATATAGGAGGTTGTCAGACAATGCTGACTCCCCCAATAACCAATAGCTCAAGCCCTTACACACACACACACTCACACACACACACACACACACCCTCCCCCAGGTCCAGCTGTCAGTCTCTCAAAAGCTAGTGGCCCACAAAAGGTGGGGGCCTTCTTGATGTGTTTACTCTCCCTGATGGCAGAAGTTGACCTGAGTTGAGGCTAAACCTAGGGACAGACTACTCTCAAGATCCAGATTGCCTGGAGCTCCAAGCTGGCCACCCTTGGGACACCAGTGGTTCTGCCGCTCCCCCTTCTACCCTGGCCTTCCAGAAGCTCTCACCTGTGCTCTGGGCTGATACATTCACCTCCAATTACAAGCCTGACCAGGTGCCCAGGGTCTATCCTGTAACGTCTAGCTAATTGCTGTAGGCTTAACTAAACTGTTTACCCACCTTTCCCTAGATTCTGAGTCTAGAGTACTTACCAAGTCTAATCTCATCCTGCCGCAGATTGCTATGTACTTCCACCACCAAAAATCAAGCTTGATTAGCAGAAAGGCTAACAGGAGACAGAAATGTGGTTGCCATCAACATCAGGTGTTCACAGGATGACCTGCAAGTAGGAGGAGCACCAATGAGCAGTCACGCAAAGAGAAGAGTGATGGGAGAGGGAGCAGACCACACCCACTCCCAGCCTTGGAGCCACTGTCTAGTCTGCACTGGGGGTGGGGCGCTGATGTGGTAGGGGCAGCCTGCTGTGAAATACAGGACTGAGGTTTGAAAACAGACAATGAGGTTGAGTCTTAATCCAAAATGATACTATCTCAGCAACTGATACTGATGGACGAATTATAGATTTGAACTGTGTATTATTAAGGGAGCCTGCTAAGAAGCAGGAAATCAGATGGTTTGAAGATATTGGAAAAATTGTCATTTCATTGATACCTGGTGAGCTGATATCACTTCATCTATTGACACTATAGTCATCGCCAGCTTCTGATGATGTGTTTTGGAAACTTTCGCCATCAGGGAGAGTAAGCACATGAGTCCCAGCTTCTGATGGCAGAAGGACACTAAGCAACGACAGCCGGGTGGGAAATGGAACCGTGAACATGAAAGGTGAGTGTGCAGCACAGCCCAGGCAAGGGCTCCGGGACCTCTTGGTCAGTATCACAACATACAGCATGTTAACGTTAGTAAGAGAATGTTGTATATTGTGGCAATAAGGAAAGCTGGTATCTCAGAAAAGACAAGAAAAAGATTACTATTTTTTTTTTAATCATCACCCAAGGATATTTTTCCATTTATTTTTAGAAAGAGTGGGAGGGAGAGAAAAACATCGATGTGAGAGAGACACATCAACTGGTTGCCTCCTGCACAACCTTGACCAGGGCTGGGGACCGAGCTGCAACCTAGGTACTTGCCCTTGACTGGAATCGAACCCAAGACCCTTTGGGCCACAGGCTGACGCTCTAACCTCTGAGCCAAACCAGTCAGGGCAAGAAAAAAATTATTTTATATTAGAACAACATTTGTGTAAGAACTCAGATAACTTGGAGTTGACCTGAAAATATGATTCCATGACATTTTTAAAACATACATTTTCTGAGTCTGCCCCCAAAGTGGTGTGCTGTGCTGCCAGCCCGGGTCAAGCAGAGCGATCCAACACCGGCCGAAGCACATAGATCGGGTCACAAACACAATCCCGGAGCAAGAGGACCCAGGAAGCCTTGGAAAGTATCCAATTCTAGGTCTTGGAGCAAAAATAATTAAGATGGGCCTGGAATACCAATTTTTTTGGCTAGGAAGAAAGTATGCTTTCAAAATGATCCAGGGCAATTTTAAAGGATAAAGCTGGAAGGGGCTGTCACTGAGCCAACTGTGACAATTTTGACATTAGAAAAAAAGCAACAGTTGCTACAGAACCATACGAAGCATGCTTTAAGAAAAAAAAAAGACATGCACAATTTTGTAAATGATGTTTACAGTATGTTGATAAAGCCAAACTCTATATATTGTACTCAAGTTTTGTATCATCATTGTAAATTTAATAGCTAAAAGATTAATTGCAATCCTGGTAGATGTAGAATCTCATCAGCTCACCTCATGCAACAAAAAATTATAGATTTTACTCTTTAGGAAAAAAAAAAAGACAGCCCAACTGGTGTGGCTCAGTGGTTGAGCACCAACCCATGCACCAAGAGGTCGCTGGTTCAATTCCTGGTCAGGGCACATGCCCAGGGTGTGGGCCTGATCCCTGGTGGGGGCATGCAGGAGGCAGTCACTCGATATTCCCTCTCATGGATGTTTCTATTTCTTTCTCCTTTCCTCTCTCTCTAAAATCAATGAAGAAAAAATAATAATAATAATAAAAGATATAAGCTTGGGAAGTCCTATTATCTCCACATGACTCAGACTACTAAGCACCAAATTGTGATGAATTGTCCTGGAAATCTGAACCGTCCTCAGGCAGGAATATCCCACCAAGAGTTCCACCCGTAGCGTCTCACTGTGAAGTGGCCTGAGAGGACAGCTCTGTGCCCCTGGGTGGGGAGTACATCTGTAATGTCAAGATGGATAAAGGAATCTACCTGAATTGATACTTCGGTGCTAGTTAGATTATCTGTAATGAGTTTCAGTCCACTGTTTCATATGTACTTTGGTTTAAGATGTTTGAAACAGGTAAGAGAATCTGTTACATTTTATTTTTTATTAGATTTAAGAACAAGAGTTGCTTAAAAGTTTAGGAAGATTTTACTAATTACATTTGAAAAACTCCTTGGGGGGTGTATTTAAGAGAATCAGTTAAATTAAATTTGAAAGTATGTTTGAAGTGTCTAAGGAACTTTGATCTATTAAGTGCAGAAGTAGTGTGGTGTAGTTAAGAAAGATTCAATCTGTAAAGCCCACAGTTCATTGAAAATTAATCAAAAAACAGGTAGAAAACAATCATATTTTATACAATTACTGGATTTCTAATACAATAATATTTTTAAAATTCTTTTTTCTTAATTGATTTTAGAGAGAGAGGAAGGGAGCAGGAGAGATAGAAACATCGATGAGAGAGAAAATCGATTGGCTGCCTCCTGCATGCCCCCCACTGGGACTGTGCCCACAACCTGGGCATGTGCCCTGACCAGGAATCGAACTGGTGACCTCTTGGTTCATGGGTCGACGCTCAACCACTAAGCCACACCGGCCGGGCAAGATATTAAACTAAAGTTTTAGGCTTAGGAGACCCAGGATATTTAAACAGCCCACTAACCTAGTAACTCTTAAATTTTCTTTTATACCCAGGAGCCTCCACAAAAAGTTTTTATGAAGAAAAAGAAAATCTGAATAAGCCTATAAATAAGATTGAATCTGTAATCAAAAATCTTCCAACAAAGAAATCCCTGGTGAATTCTACCAAATATTTAAAGAAGAACTAATAATACCAATCCTTCTCAAACTTCTCCCAAGAACTGTAGAAGAGGAGATACTTTCTAATTCATTCTATGGGCCAGTATTCCCGGGTTCGATTCCTCATTAGGGGCTCCATCTGTGCAGGAGGCAGCCGCTTATGTTTTACTTTCACATCAATGTTTCCCTCTCTCTTCCTCTCTTTCTAAAAACTTTCTATCTAAAAATCAATAAAAATATATTTTTTTTAAAAAATGGGCAAAGCGTCCAGCTGGTGTGCTCAGTGGTTTAGTGTTGACCCATGGACCAAGAGGTCACCGGTTCGATTCCCAGTCAGGACACATGCCCAGGATGTGGGCCCGATCCCCAGTGGGGGCATGCAGCAGGCAGCCAATCGATGTTCTCTCTCATCGATGTTTCTATCTCTCTCTCCCTCTCCCTTCCTCTCTCTCTAAAATCAATAAAGGGGGGGGAGTGGGCAAAGGACTGGAATAGACATTTCTCTGAAGAAGATATACAAATGACAATAAGCACCTGAAAGAAAAGATGTTCAACATTGCTAATCATTAGGGAAATGCAAATCAAAACCACGAGATACCACCTCACGCCCATTAGGATGGCTACTGTAAAAAACTAAAACTTAAAAGATAAAATAAAACAGAAAATAACAAGTGTTGGCAAAGATGTGGCGAAACTGAAACCCTTTTGCACTGTTAGTGGGGATGTAAAATAGTGCAGCCCCTGTGGAAAACAGTACGCTGGATCTTCACAAACTTAAAAATGGAACTACCGTGTGATCCAGACGTCCCAGGTCAGGTGCCCGAAGAGCTGAAAGCACAGTCTTGCAGAGATATCTGTACGCTCATATTCACAGCAGCATTATTCACAATTGCTAAAACGTGAAAGGAACCCAAGTGTCCATCATCAGATAAATGAATAAGCAAAATGTGCTATATACATACAATGGAATATTTTTCAGCTTAAAAGGAAGGAAATGCTAAAATATGAATAAACTTTGAGGACATTATACTAGCTGAAATAAACCAGTTACAAAAAGACAAAAACTGCATGATTCTACTTACATGAGATACTTAGAATAGTCAAAATTATGGCCAGACATGAGGATGGTGGTTGCCAGGGGCTGGGGCAGGGAAATGAGGAGTTAGTGTTTAATGGATGTACAGCTTCCATTTTACAAGATGAAGAGTTACAGGGCTGGATGGTGGTGATGGTTCCACAACACTATGAATGTATTTAATACTCTGACTATACACTTAAATATATTTAAGATGGTAAATATTATGTGTATTTTTTCATTTTACAATGAAAAAAAAAACCCATCAGATGTTCTGGAATTCACCATGTCCATGGTGCTCGTCCCTGTATTTATTTCCTGTTTATCACCTAATCTTGTCCCAGTCGCCCACCCCTATGGGCCTCCCAAACTCCACTATGACTTTTTTTTTTTATCTTCACCCGAGGACATTTTTCCATTTTTTGTTCAGATAGAGTGGGGGAGAGAGAGAGAGAGAGCGCGCGCGAGAAACATCGACGTGAAAAGGACACATCGAGTGGTTGCCACCCACATGACCCAACCAGGGCCAGGGACAAACTGCAACTGAGGTAAGTGCCCTTAGCGAGAACCGAACCCGGGTCTCTCTGGACCACAGGCCAACGCTCTAACCGCTGAGCCAAACCGGCCAGGGCCACTGTGACCTTTAGAATTCTTGGTCCATCATCAGCAAATTCCTTCTCTGAACATTCATCTTCACCTCCTTCTTTGAACATTCACTTCTCTTACTTGCCTGCATCAGAACTTGGCCATCTTCCCTGAGGACACCATATAGCCTCCCTAAGTTAAACCATTTTCTTCCTCATACTCCGTGAAAATTGGGACAGAACAGGTGTTCTCTGCACTCCCCATGGCCATTTTCTCCTCACAAACCTCAGTCCGCTGAGATGCATTCCATCAGACCGGTCCGTACACTACCATCCTGGCGTGTTTATCCATCCACCTCCTGGTCACTCTCCCTCTCATTCTTGAGTTATTTTAGCATCTGGATTCCTGTATTCTTCTCCGCTCCCCTTTTCACAATTCCTGCCAACTTCAGTATTGGCAGAGACAATCCACCCAACATTTTGGCTTCTCATAACTGAGCCTCCTGTTTGTACCCGAGATTTAACTTACAGAGGTGAACAAGGAACAAAGTGGAAAGGTCAATGCCATTTAAAGTAGCATTTACTATTCACATTTCCTGAGAGGAGGGAACATGCCATGACATGCAGGGCCACATGAGGAAGTACCAGGGTTTGTCAAAAAACAGAGGAGCAAGTGAAAAGCATGGCCCAGAGCCTTTGTTGTGGTTTCCGTGGGGCAAAAATAAGCAAAGCAGGGCAGGGAAGTTTAAGAAAGTCTAGGTTTGGCTAGTTTGAATAATTTTAGCAGGCTCTGGGCTATTGGGGTGGTTGTCTGGTCCTGGTCCTGGGTGATTTAGGGCAGGGGAAATATTGACTTGGACTGTGAGAGTTAGATAAGAAGCCAGTTGAAGGTATGGGCTTTGAGTTGATTGGTCTGATTATGACCAATCCCTCTTTGGGTGGAAACAGAGGGAGTCCTTTGCTATCTCTAGGAGGGGTAGTCTCTCTGGATTAGAAAGGCCCGTAAGTTGTCAAAGCATTATTAAATATAGAAAATTTTAAAAATGATTAATACACCTCCTCAAATCTTAGTAATCTCTTCGACTCTACCTCAGGACTGACTCCCACAGTCATACTCTTGACCTTGCTAGCCCCAATAATAACATCAACACCAAAGTATTCCTTTCTAGCCTCCCACCCTCTAATTGTCACCCCTTTATGCTTCTCCTTAGCTTACTAAGGTGACCCCATTCCAATACTCCTTACACTCTACTGAGCCAACGATCTCGCCTTTTGTCAAGTGCACAGAAACCGTGCTGGGCACATGGATACACCATTTAAGTGTTAAGCATATAAATCGCTCCCACTGGCCCTCACTATCCTCCTCACCAGCTTAGACTTCATGGTACATCACTGCATAATCACTTCTTTGCAATTACCCACCTCCCTGGCCCATTTCTCTCCACTCTGTAGTTGACAGGCAAACTCCAGCTCTGGTTTGTTCACTGTCTATCCACCCGAGCCTACACCTGAGCTCCTGAACACGGTTGGAGAAAATCCAACCGTTGGTACCAACTAGTCTACAGTGCATTTTTGAACCGGATTTCAAACAGGCACTCAAGTCTGTACAACAATCATTACATTTTCCTAGTGGATTCTTTCTCCCTCTTCAAATGGAAATTTCCCATATTTTCTGCTTTCTTTAAGCCTTCACCACACCCTCCCCACTACACTCTTAGCTGAGGACCTCACTCCATATGTCACTGGGAAAAGCGATCAGACAAAAACTACCTTATCTTCCCATCATGAAATTAGCACCCTGGGCCCGAGGACCACAGCTCTCTTTTCCCAGCTTTACTGGTTGATACACAACATTAAGGTTAAGGTGTACAAAGTGTTGATTTGACAGCAGTTTCCCTTCTGTTCCAGTATAGAACTGATCCTGACCCCCCCCCTTTTTCTCCCACCCACATCCTGGACCCTCTCCCTCCTCAAGGAATTCCTTCCTGCAGGGATTCTCCTCTCCCTGGGTCCATCCATTTATCTCTCTCAATGAAAACATCTCAGTAATAATTCCCAGCGAGATAATTATCATATAAATATGCCATACAAAACAAAACCCTTCTTAGACCCCATCTTTCACAGCTAAAAAAGTTGAGTATACTCCCTGCCTCCACTTCCCCAAGTCTTCCTCCCACTCTCTCTTCAACCAGTCAAATGATCCTGCTCACCTTCCACTGAACAGCCCTTGTCCAACTCACCAAGGACCTGCCGTAGCAGTTAGAATAAAATGTCAGGGCCTGTCTCAGACATCCTTGTCCCTGCCAACTACACTGGAATGTTTGCTCTTCACACACACTTTCATTCCTATCCTTGGGCCATGGAACTGGCTTTCTTCTCTGCTGGGGACAACTTTCACAGAGATCTCCATCTTGTCCTTCCCATCACTCAGGACTCAGCCCAAACATCACCTCTATAGACAGGCCTTCCCTGACCATCTTAGCTGAAGAATCCCCCTACTTCATCTTTATTTCCGTAGTAGACTTATCCCTTCTGGAAATTATCTTATTCTCTTATGTTGCCAAATAAATACACTGCTAAATAAATAAGCATATTAAATAAATGTTTTTATTGCATCAATCCAGAAACTCCATACTCATTAGCAGTCACTCCTCATTATCCCTCCCTCATCGCATCACAACTACTAAAAGGCTTTGTTTCTATAGATTTACCTATAGGTTCTAGACATTTCATATAAATGGAATCATATAATATATGGCCTTTTGTAATGGGCTTCTTTCAGTTAGCATAATGTTTTCAAGGTCATCCATGTTGCCGTGTGTATCAGCACTTCATTCCTTTTTATGACCAAATGAAATTTCATTGTGTGGAACATGCCATATTTTATTTGTCCATTCATCAGTTGATGGACATTTGGATTGTTTCCACTTTTTGGTTATTGTGATTATATGTGAACATTTGTGTGCAAATATTTGTTTAAGTAACTGCTTTCAATTCTTTTGGATATATTCCTAAAAGTGAAATTCCTTGATCATATGGTGATGCTATATTTAACTTTGTGCAGAATTGTCAAACTGTTTTCTACAGTGACTGAACGATTTTACATTCCTACCAGTAATGTGTGAATGTTTCAGTTTCTGCACACCCTCACACTTACTTTCCGTTGGTTTGTTTTGTTCTTATGGCCATCTAGTAGTTGTGAGGTAGTATCTTAATTAAAGTGGATTTCCTAATGACTAATGATGCTGAGCATCTTTTGATGTGCTCGTTGGCTATTTGTATTTCTGCTTTGGGAAAATGTCTGTTCAAGTCACTTGCCCATTTTTAAAACTGGGTTGTTTATCGTTTTGTTGTTGAGTTGTTGGGGGTTCTTCATATATTCTGAATACTAGATGCTTAACATATCTATGTTTTACAAATATGTCTTTCAATATTGTGAATTGTCTTTTGACTTTTTTTGATAATGTTCTTTGATGTCCAAAAGTTTTTAATTAGATGAAGTCTAATTTAAAGACACATTTACACAAAACATTATGGAAATTTCCAAACATATATAAAATATAGCACAGTCTAATGAACTCCCCTGAACTTGTCATGAAGTTTCAACAACTACCAACATTTTGTCAATGTTGTTTCTTATATGTCTGTTTTATTGTTATTGTTTTGTTTTGGCTATAATCTTTTGAACTAAATAGCAGACATCATGCCTTTGCACCTGTAAGTATTTCAATATGCATCTCTAACTGATAAGGACTTTTCGGTCTACATAAACATCATGCTTCATCCCACCCAACAAAATAAATAACTCATTAATATCACCTAGTACTCAATCCATATTCAGATTTCCCCAACTGTCTCAAAGATGTCTTGTTTTTACAGTTACTAAACTAACTTGATTCAGAATCCAAACAAAAGCCATAGGTTTTGTTTAACTGCTATCTTTCAAGTCGCCTATTTATAACAGTTTCTTTTAGCTACATCTTTTTCATGCCATTGATTTTTTAGAGAAACCACATTATTTGCTCTGTAGAATATCCCACATTCTGGATCTGGCTGAGGTCACATATTAAAAGATGTTATAGCACCATTTACATACAAACAACTGAGCAGTAAAAGTTGGAGTCTCAGAACCAGAAGAGATCTTAATAACAGCTAACAGTTATATGGCACACACTGTGCTGGGCACTATACATATATGAACTCGTTGAATCCTTACAATTACACTAAGAGGTAGTTGATACTCTCATCCCCATTCTATTGATGACCACACTAGGCCCAGAGAGGTAAACTTGCCCCAAATCAACTGCTACTGGGGGGGGGGGGGGGCAGGATCTAACCCCAGCCATCTGGTCTAGCAGCTATGCTCTTCACCACTGCCAGGCTTACAGCTGGTCACAGAGCCCTTTGTGACAGAGTGCCTTTCAAGGCCAAGATTGAAAAAAGACCTTAAATTCTGTTCTGGGACAAGTGACAAAGTATTACCCTCCCATCCCTTTTATTATGCAAATGTCAGTGCCAAATTGGCTTCTAGGATTATAGGGTAACAGGGCCCTTTGAGACAATATTATTATCCTCACTTTAGAGATGAAGAAACTGACACCCAGAGAGGTGACATTATTTTTACCCAAGGGCCCCCTGCCTCCTAAGGAAGGTCTCATTCCCTGGGCTGCAAGCTCCCTAAACACTGATTCTGGGCTGAAGCCCATACCAAATCCAGGTTCTCCCCTAGTGTCAGCAGGGGCCTCTCTGCCTGACCAGTTCATGACTTCAGAAGGGGCTGCTGAACCGAGCCCGAGAAAACAAATGCCGACTTCTAGGTGTCCCCAAAGAAGTAGCAGGCAAACAGCTGGCAATCAAGTATGGTCCCTACTGGCCCACTGCACTGGTCCTTTTGTAGTCAGGAATCCTGCAGAGAGGGCTGACACACAACGGTCCACAGGCTGCTAACTTTCCAAAGCCCCACCCTAACACCCACGTTTCTGCGGCTCCTTTCATCCCCACCTTTCTTTGCATCTTCACCTTTCTGCCCAGAAGTTAGGCCCTCCTACCCCCTCTTTCCTGGGATGGGAGAGAAGCCAGACACAGAGAGGCCCAACCCACTAGGTTGAATTTGTATGAAGGCAGGAGCTGTAACAGGAAATGCACCATTCTGATCTGGTGCATGCGAGCTGGGCACCCTGCTCGAGCTAAATGCCTGTTTCTTCATCTATAAAATGGGAATAATGTGCTGCAAGAGTCCAGAGACTTATTCTGGAATGGACTGGATAGTAAATATGTTAGGTTTTTCTGGGCCAGACTTTCTCTGTCCTGGCTACTCAACGCTGCCCCTCTGGGGAAAGCAGCCACAGACAGCTTGTAAAGGAATGGCGTGGCTATATTCCAACAAACCTTTATTTACAAAAACAGGTGCATGGGCAAGTCCACCCCTGACCTACTCTTAGAGCCGCTGGAAGGTGAGGTGACAGATGTGACGCTGCTCTGTGGGCTGTAAAGGGTGAATCCCCGAGAGGAACTGGGGTGCGGGACAGAGTATGTGGCCGGAGCACCCCGCCGGCGGTAGCGCTTCCACACACAGGAACGCTCAGGAAACGGGAGTTGAGCGGCAGTGGCCTCCGACGACGGTCTGCTAGGAACCGCCTCCTAACGCCCCGACCCGCCTTCCCCTCCAGTTAAACTAGGGTACCAATCTCCGGCCCTGCCTTCGCAGGTCGCAGGCCCGCCCAAAGCGCTCAGCTGGGGGAGGAGCCTCCCGCGCTGGCCCGGCATGCTTTGCGCCCGGCCCCGCCCCTAGCCCCGCCCCGGCAGGCGTGCTTTGCTCCCGGCCCACCGGCGCACAGGCTGCGGCGCCCTAGGCTGTGGCGGAGGTGAGCGCCTGGAGTTGGGTGGCTGGTGCGGGGACCCCAGGGATGACCCCCTCACCCCAGATTTCTCGCGAGTAGGGAGTTCGAATTCAAGCCCCCGGTGTAGCCTCAGGGGCCCGGATGGAGGCCGAGCGGGAATCCCTCTTAGCTGCCTGAGCAGTGCGTGCTGACCTGGAGCGTGGCCTTGGCACTGTGGGCCTGGGGGCATTGGGATCTGGGCCGGACCCGTCCCTCTCTGGCCTCGGTTACCTTATTGGAACAAAGGGCTAAGTTTTGAGACCCTTTAGGAATTTTTTATTAAAGTAAGTACCCCACGTTCTTATTTGTAGCAACTTATTTGCTAATTAAGCATTTCACATACACACACAAAACACTTTTCATAGATAGGAAGCTTCAATTAAAGTTAAGTAATTGTAAATTTTTCCGAAATACTTAACGATGATGTATGGAATTCCCAGGATGTGTTTCAGAATAAACCATTTGGAGGGGGAATATGGTTGGAGTAAAGACAAAACAGGATTGACCATGAATGAGTTGATGATTGAAGTTGATGTAATATTTTTTCTACTTTTTTGTGTGTGAAATTTTATTTTTAAATTTTTTATTAATTTATTTTTGTTACAGATATTTCTCCTTTTCCCCATTGACACCTTCCTTCCTATCCCCCCCACCCCATCGCCAGCTTTATTGTCCATGGCCATTGGTTATGCATACATAGTATAAGTTCTGTGGTTTATCTCCCCCCCTCTTCTGAGTGTTATCAGTCTGTACCCTACTTCCACGTCTCTAAGTCTACCTTGTTCCTCAGACTGTTATGTTCATTATATTCTACAAATAAGTGAGATCATGTGATATTTGTCTTTCTCTGCTTGGCTTGTTTCACTTAGCATAATACTTTCCAGGTCCCTCCATGTCATCTCAAAGATACGAGATCTTTCTTTCTTACAGCTGCATAGTACTCCATTGTGTATATGTACCACTGCTTTTTTATCCATTTGTCTACTGATGGGCACTTGGGCTGTTTTCAGATCTTAGCAATTATAAATAGTGCTGCTATGAATGTAGGGGTACAAATATTCTTTCTGATTGGTGTTTCAGGCTTCTTAGGGTATATTCGTTGAAGTGGGATCACTGGGTCAGATGGCAATTCAATTTTTAATATTTTGAGGTAACACAATAATGTTTTCTATAGTGGCTGCACCAGTCTGCATTCCCACCAGCAGTGTAGTAGAGTCCACTTTTCTCCACACCCTCGCCAACACTTGTTGTTTGATGATTTGTTGATGGCGGCCATTCTGACAGGTGTGAGGTAATACCTCATTGTTGTTTTAATTTGCATCTCTCTGATGATTAGTGATGTTGAGCAACTCTTCATATGTCTCTTAGCCATTTGTATGTCCTGTTTGGAGAGGTGTCTATTCAGCTCCTCTGCCCATTTTTTAATTGGGTCCTTTGTCTTCCTTTTGTTAAGTTGTATGAACAGTATTTTGTCTACCTTTGTGTATGTTTGCAATTTGGCATTAAAACAAATTTTTAATCATCACATGAGGATATGTTGGTTTTTTTAAACTGATTTTAGAGAGAGAAGGAAACATCCATAGGTTGCCTCCGGTACATGCCTATATCAGGATCAAACCTGCAAGCTAGATATGTGCCCTGACCTGGAATCGAACCTGCCTTTTATTGTATAGGATGACGCTTGAACTAACTGAGCCTCCCGGCCAGAGCTAACATTTTTTCTAAAATGAAGTTTGCTATGAACACCTGACAACCTATGTTCAAATACTGTGCCTGTAATAGTCTAGAGCTGCCATGACGAGTACTGAGTGGCAGAAACTTATTTTTATCATGATTCTGGAGGCTGGAAGTCCAAGATCAAGGTGTCAGCAGAGCTGGTTTCATCTGAGGCTTCTCTCTTCTGCTTGTAGGTGATCCCTTTGTGGCTTGTCACCTCTTGTGATCTTTCCTGCTTGTGCCTGTGTCCTAATCTGTTCTCATAAGGATATCATATTGGATGAGGGCCTGCCCTAATGACTTCATTTCAACTTAACCATCTCTTTAGAGGCCCCATCTCTTAATATAGTCACATTCTGAGGTACTGGGGTTAAGACCTAAGCATATGAATTTGTAGATACAATTCAGCCCTTAACTGCCACTTTACTAGTTTGGAATTTTCACCAATTTACTTACCCTGTCTGTGCCTCAGTTCTCACAGTTTAAATAGGGGCAATAGCCCGGCCAATGTGCTCAGTGGTTGAGCGTCGACCCATGCACCAAGAGGTCACCGGTTCTATTCCCGGTCAGGGCACATGGCCAGGTTGTGGGCCCAATCCCCAGTAGGGGGCATGCAGGAGGTGGCTAAGTGATGTTCTCTCTCATCGATATTTCTGTCTCTCCCCCTTTATCTCTCTCTGAAATCAGTAAAGAAAAAAATTAAATAGGGGCAATAGTAGTAATTAGGTCATGGAGTTATGAGCATTTAGTTGTGACATAATAAATGTAAAGCTGTCAAAACTGTGTCTGGCATGCAATAATACTCAAGAAGTTGAACATATGCTTCACCTGTAAATTAGTGGTCATAGCACTTCACTGTGGGATGAATAGTGGAGTGAGGCAGTTGAGTACTTAGTGCTGTGGGAATAAAAGTAATAATCACAGATATTATCATAGGGGATCCAATACTGTGCCAGACACTGTTCTATGTATGTTCATTTACTCATCACAGCCACTCTAGCAATGGGCCATTGTGACATGTCTGTTTGGCAAATGGAGAGGCTCATGCCCAGAAATGGAACCGAGATTTGAACTCAGGTTCTCACCACTATGCTGCATTGCCCTAGTTAAAAAGGAGGTGGCCCTGGGAGGTGTTCAGAGAACTGTTAGCTGACTTCTCTTTTTCTTGGCCCAGGTTTATAGTGGTGGCAGTATTCATGGCAGGTCCCCTGTGGCGGACCGCAGCATTTGTGCAGAGACACAGGACAGGCCTATTGGTGGGTTCCTGTGCAGGCCTGTTTGGGGCCCAAATCTTGCACCACCTCTTCCCAGATCCTGTGATTCGATGGCTGTACCAGTACTGGCCTCAGGGGCAGCCAGCCCTGCTCTCCCCAAAGCTACGGAGACTCTTCCAAGAGGTGCTGCAGGACATTGGCGTCCCGTCAGACCATTGCTACGAGGCCTTTACCACCTTCACCTTCCAGCCGGTGAGTGCCGGCTTCCCGAGACTTCCTGCTGGAGCCGTGGTGGGCATTCCCGCCAGCTTCCTGAGTATCCCAATGATCAGCACTGACCACCCTGTGGTTGTACATGGGCAAAGAGTGGACTGGAAGAGCCCAGAAGGTACCCGGCTGAGAGATGCACTGACCCTGTCCCATAGTGCCCAGAAGTTCGCCTTGGCCAGGGAGGTGGTGTACCTGGAGAGTGGTGCAGCTGCCCTGCAGGCCCTGCCAGCTCCAGCTTGTTTGGCGGGAACTTGGGCACTGAGTGTGGGTACCAAGTATGCACTGGGGCTCTATGGAGGCCCCATGAACTTACGGGCTGCCTTCAACCTGGTGGCAGCAGTGGCAGGCTTTGTGGCTTACGCCTTCTCCACAGACTCTCTCACTCATGCCCTGGAAGCCTGGCTGGACCGCCGCACAGCCTCTCTGTCTGCAGCCTATTCCCAGGGTGGAGTGGAGTTCTATGAGAAGGTTCTGTCAGGCAACCTGGCCCTGCGCAGTCTCTTGGGCAGGCCTGGAGAGAAGCTGTATACTCCCTCTGGGAATATCATTCCCAGACATTGGTTCCGTGTCAAACATTTACCCTACACGACCCGCCGGGACTCCGTGCTGCAGATGTGGAGGGCAACACTCAATCCAGGCCGCTCCTGAGGGGGTTCATCTCATGGACAGTTCCAGCTCATGCAGGCACCACCCTGCCATTGACCTTGGGGGATCTCTCGGTGCCTCTGCACCCACAGCCCAATATCAGGAAAATCACAGGCTTCGGAGTTAAACAGCCTAGATTCTATCTCAACCCACCTCTTACGATCTCAGCAACCTTGGGCACGTCCTTTGTGAATCAGAGCCTTGGTTTCCTCCACTGTAAAGTGGGGATGGTGTAAACTTCTGGCAGGATTGTGGGGTCCCCTGGTAGAAAGGGTGGGCCATAAATAAACAGGATGTCCCTCCTTCTTGGTCTTTGAATACCAGTGGACTGTGGGGGTCAGGACACATCTCACCACCAGAAGTGCTTGCAGGATGTGAACACTTTCCTACAGCAAAGAACCACCCCATAGTTTGCCTCTTGGTCAGATCTCAATTTCCTTCTATGGTGGAGAATAAAAGCTTTGAGAGGCCAAGATGAGAAGCCACTGTGTGCCTGCGAGGCTGGGAAATATGAGCTTGCAGTGGGCTTTAAGGGTGGTGTGTGTCCAGTGCAGCTGGCATGTTCATAGCGGGCTGGCAGCCAACAGCATGTGGTGGGCCCCAGGAGAGCCCCTGGGCCTGAAGGGGAGAGGTGTTGCTGGAACCTGGCAAGACCTATGACAAGGGAGGCCTGCCTTGGACAGAGGAAGGGGAAGAAACAAGCCATTGCTAAACTGGTCCTGCAGGGATGGAGCCGGCTGATGCAGTCCAGACTATGGTCAGGGCTTGGAGAGGAGAGGGAGTGAGGTGGAGGCGTAAAGGGAAATGGAGATAGGATGACCTTGGCTCACAGGGGACAGTAAGGAGAGCAGAGGGGTGGAGATGAATGGAGACTGAGTATGATGGGGAAAAGTGCCTTCCTGCTGGTTCCTTCACAGGACTGGTACTCAGTGCTCTGGCCCCATTCTGTGCCAGGCTGTGGGTCCCCATATCAGGCTAGGCAGACTGTTGCTGTGGACAGAGCATCCCATCTCCCAGGTCCCTGGGACAGTGTTTGGCACAGATCTGATGTATGCATAGAAGAATGGATGAGTTAGTGGAAGGGTGAACAAGTCCCCACTCTGAAATACCACCTTCAGTGGCCCCTCAGCATGTCATCCAGCTGTTGCTGCTGCCACACAAGACCACCCAATGTTGGTTGAAGAAGCGTTTGGGGTCTGGATTCAATGCTCTCCACTTTCCACCACTCCCCACCTGCACTCCAACTACTGTCAATGCTACAGGAGCCAAGATGGTGGCATCAGTCAATCCTGCCCCAATAGAAAGATGAGGGAGCCCCATTGTGCATGTTGGGGGGTCCCTAAAATGGCTGTTTACTTGGCTTTCTCTACTCCATGTCAAATCTTGTCCACTCATGGGCTGTTCTCATTTCCCACATATGCTTTACATGGCCCCAGCTCTGAACCTTGGCTCACAGAGCCTCCATCCTATGAGCTACCCCTCCTCACTGCCTTCCACACATCCCCAAAGCCTGGCTCGATCCTAGGCAATATGAACATCTGGAACCTCACTGCAGCCCCCTCCACTGGCATCTCCTTTCTGGCTAAAGTCCTATGTGAGCCTGGACCTGGTGGCCTCCCCAAATGTCCTGCATCCCACTTTCTCCAGCTCTGGATGGTAGCCTCATAAGCACCATGGTTCCTTAAGTGCTGCCCCTCCTTCCCCACACAGGCCTTTACCATGGCTGTGTCCTTCACCTGAGGTGCTCTCTCCTGCAGGATGACTCCAGTAACTCCCCATTTGTGCCCTGTTGCACATCCTGTACCTTCCCTAGCCCTTACTGTTAACCATAATTAAATAAGTTTCCCTCGAGTTAGCAATCTCCTACTGAAATGTACTATCTGCAAGGACAAGGTTGTGTCTTGTGTACAGCTCTGAGCTGACGTTCTCCATAACATTTTTAAATACATGAATAAGGCTCGTAGGCTACAACAGACAGTCCTGGCCCCTTAGAGTTTGAGAAATTATGGTAAGGCTGGCTGGACCTGTGAATGATAAGTGACCCCAGTGCTTTCTTCCTGGCTTGGGACTTTCCAAGGATGGGGCCTGGCCCTGATCTCCCATGACTGCTGATTTCAGTGAGGAAACCAGAGCACTTCTGGGTCACTTCCTACAGGGCACAGATGACTACTCAGGAAACCACGGATGCCAAGAGGTTAGGGGAAGGTGACTTGCAAAGTTTTGTGATGTATTGGGCCCCTCGCACAGTTTGGGGGTTGATCCCAGCAAGATTAAAAGGCGTGCTCCAGGCCCTAGAGTCTAGGGTTTCTCAGATAGGCCAGGTGACAGGAAGTTACCCTGTGAACGTTGCCCTGCATCTTCCTTCTCAGATGCCTGTTGTGTTCCTCAGTCATCAGCACTCTGCCCTGGATCCCTAAGGGACATTGTTCTATTGAGTGGTGCCCCACCCCCCCACATTCACAGTTCTCAGAGCTACATCAATATGCAAATATAAGCCCCACCACACACATGCATATCCAAACATAGCCAGAAGACTAGGAGGGGTCTCAGAGTCATGTTGCTGGCGCTGCTCTGCCCATCTGTGATCCTGCTCTACTGGCGCTGCTCTGCCCATCTGTGATCCTGCTCTACTGCTTCTGTCCCCACCGGCCAGTGTCCACAGTGCAGGCTCCCATGCAACCATGCCTGGAGTTGAGCACATGCATGTGGAACCCAGTCCCCACATGTGCTTCATCACAGGTTGGGTACCAAATGCTTGTGTAGCTCCTCACACACTGAGGCCTCCTTCCTACCACATCCTTCTAGTAATGTTTATGGGGTCTTTATTGTAGGGTTGGGGGTTTGGTGGGTGAACACAATGTAATCTTGAGGTATGCATTCACGTGGTCTGGCCAGCCAAGGATCAAAGTATGCATGTGAATAGATAAGGTATGCATGGATATGGGTTGGAATGCCACCCTGAGTGTAAAGTATATGTGTGAATAGATAAGGTATGCGTGAATTGGGTTCAGAGAGCCACCCTGAGAGTGACAGTGGGCGATATACCAAGCGTGAATGTATTTTGTTATGATGCATCTCTGCTGAAAACAACGAGAGACAGGAAATATGCTGGGCTTGGCTGTATGGTGAGCAGAGACGTGATCTCAAGGACTTAATTACCTAAAACACCATGTGACTTAGGGAACCACTTTGCAAATAAATTGGACTATGTACATCCAGAGATCTGGAGCATTTGCTCCCTTGCGATGCTCCCCCTCACTCCAAGCAGTGTCTGCTTGTAGTTCATTGCATTGCAACAACCCTTGGCAGGCCGAGAGTTGGCATTTATTGTGCTCCAGACACTGTGCTGGGTTCTTAGAGAAAAAAATGTATCCTCAAATCAGAACATGTATTTGGTAAAATGATTTCAATTTTACAGGCAAGCAAACAGCACAGAAAGGTGAGGAAATGTTCCCCAATCATAGAGCTTTGTAAGTGGCAGGACCAAAATCTGAAGCTAGCCGTCTGGCTCCAGATCCCTTTCTTGAAACCCTACATTTATACTGCCCCATTTATCCTGAGGGTTTCATGGTACAAAATTATACTGTGGACTCCGCAGCCTTTCTCCCCATGCTGGTTAGAGATGACTTTCCAGCCTCACCTTTTTTTTTTAATCCTCACCCAAGGACATTTTTCCATTTTTTGTTCAGACAGAGTGGGAGGGAGAGAGAGAAACATCGACGTGAAAGGGACACATCGAGTGGCTGCCTCCCGCATGACCCAACCAGGGCCAGGGACAGACTGCAACCGAGGGAACCAAACCCGGGCCTCTCTGGACCGCAGGCCGATGCTCTAACTGCTGAGCCAAATCTGCCAGGGCCCAGCCTCACCTCTTATCAGGAAAAAAAGGTCACTGAGTAGAGCCTTCTGAAACTTCTAGGGAGACCCTTTCAGCTAACTGAAGAGGAAGGGACCAGCTATATTTAGTGCGGAGGTGGGAATAGGGTGGAAGGGCAGTGTTAGGGAGCCCTAGGAGGCCCCAGCTGAGGACAGGGGCACCTTAGGAGGCAGAGAGAGAGCACAGACTGGGCAGCCAGCTATGGGTTCAAATCCTGGTCCTGCCACTTTAGCAGAATGACCTTGAACAATTGACTTTACATCTCTGATCTTGAGTTTCCTGTCTATAAAATTGGGATATTAATATGTATCTTACACCATTGTTTTGACAATAAAAGTGAAATAAAGTTTGCAAAATATGAGCATATATCGTAAGCTTTAAAAAAAATTGGTTTCCTAAATTTTAGTATTTTTAAGTGGTATAAGTTCCAGCAATTCCTTGAGACTTAAGCCTTCGGGGAACTCACTGCTGCCTAAAACAAGTCTGCACTTACAGCTTTTCAAGTCTCAAGGCAGTTCTTCAGGTTACTACCAGTTGACACCTTTTGGGAAATTACTTAGTAGCAGCTGAGAGCAAAGGACCCAGATGGCCCTACGGGGAGATACCAGACTGGAGAAGAGGGCATTAAGGTGGGAGATAGTCCTTTACACCTACCATAGTGGTAATTTTTAAATACTAGAACATTCAGTGTTAGTAAGATTTTGGTGAAATTGGCACAAGTATATGCTCTTGGCATTTTTTAAAAATTGCATTTATTGGGGTGACATTGGCTAAAAAACTATATAGGTTTCAGGTACACAGTTCTACAGTACATCATCTGTATATTGTATTGCGTGTTTACCACTACAAGTTAAGTCTCCTTCCATCACCATTTATCCCCTCTTTACCCTCTTCTACATCCTCGCTCCTTCCCTCTGGCAATCACCATATTGTTGTTTGTGTCCCTGAGTCTTTTTTTACTCTTTGCTTAATCCCTTCACCCTTCTCACCCAGCTCTCCACTTCCACCCCTCTGACAGCTGTCAGTCTGTTTTCTCTATCCAGTCTGTTTCCACTTTGTTTATTTTGCTCATTGGGTTCCACGTATAAGTGAAATCGTATGGTACTTTTCTTTCTCTGACTGGCTTATTTCATTTGGCATATAATGTTCTCCAGGTCCATCCATGCTGTCCCAAAAGGTAAGATTTCCTTCTCTTTACAGCTCAGTATTATTCTGTTGTGTAAATGTACCACCTCCTCTTTATCCACTCATCTACTGATGGGTACTTGGGCTGCTTCCAAATCTTGGCTATTGTAAATAATGCCACAATGAACATAGAGGTGCATATATGCTTTTCAATTAGTGTTTCAGGTTTCTTTGGATATAGTTCCAAAATGGAATTGCTGGGTCATAAGGCAGTTGCATTTTTAATTTTTTGAAGAGACTCCATACTGTTTTCTATAGAGGCTGCACCAATCTGCATCCCCACCAACAGTGCACGAGGGTTCCTTTTTCTCCAAATCCTTACTAATACTTTTCAATTGTTTTATTGATAATAGCCAT